TAACGAATATGGATCAAGCCTAGATCTTTATCAGGCCAGAATTTTTTGGTAAATAAATAATTATATGTGACTTGCCAGGGTGATAAGAGCTTGTGGATGAATGTTATCTAAACCCGTGATGAGTTCTTCTTCAAGCCATGAGCTTAGCCTTTACCTTTTCGGGGGAAAAGATAATGTCTGTTAGTAATGGGTAAGGAATATGTTCCAGCAAACGGAGAAGTACGAACCCAGTGTTACTGGGCGCATTGACCACTTGCGAGTACTGTAGCCTCAGCATTTCTGCAGCCTCCTTGGTTGTCACTGAAACACGTCCTGCTGCTTTTAGTATCGGAACGCCGTGTTTGACTTTCCGGGAAACGTTTACATGCTTAGACAATAGCTTGGGGTTTGCGATACACTTTCTCACCAGCATTTCCTGATAATTGTGCTTGTCTTCCCGCACCAAATTTGTACAGTGGTTCCGAATGAGCCTGTAAGCTTCCCAAGTGCTGGGGCATGGACGGCATTTGAACTCCCTCCAGTGAAAGTCCCTTTGCATTATCAATTATCATTATCCGTTTCCTAGTTCGACTGCGAATGGCTGTTTTTCGAACAGTCGGTTGGCGTAGACGCTTGACGGTTGTAACAGCAGCCACCAATGTCGTGATTCTGTCGAACTGCTAAGAACTGCGAAGTATGCTTACAAAATCAGAAGTCAAAACCGAAGAATTGGGTCCCATTGCCAGAAAGCTGTATCCCATGGCAACGTGTGCACGCCGATTTCTGTGGACCGTTTCTCGGCCATTATCACGCACTAATACTTATCGATTCGTGCTCAGAATGATCTGAAGTATTTCTAACCAACACACCAACTACATCGTTTGTGGTGCGGGTACTACGAAAGTGTTTCACTCGAGAGGGTGTTCCTCAAGTGTTGGTGACTGACAATGGGTTGCAATTCTGCGCTTCGGAGTTGAAAACGTGGCTGGACAGTACTGGCTGCCAACATCTGCGCAGCACCACGTCACCCCTGGTCGAACGGCGCAGCAGAAAATTTGGTGAAAACGGTGAAGAGTGCCATTTCCTCTGCAAATCCAAGGACAATTTCAGAGTTGGAGGTACTCCTAGACAACTTCCTACTGCAAAACCAGAATGCCACAGATGCTACCACCAAAGACAGCCCAGCGAAACTATTCAAAGCCAGAAGCTTACGGTGCGTGGATTCGTATACTTCCGAGGAAATGACCTGAAGCCATTAAAAGGAATCATTACCCGCAAGATTGGTTAAGCTATGGTCGAGTTTACAGACCTAAGAGATGCAACGGTTCATCGACGTCACATCGATCAAGTTCACTCCAACGAGACTCCCACTTCGATTGAAGACCCTGTCGAAGAAACCCAAGAAAACCCACGCTGTGATACGCCGTCAACAACCACAGAAGATCGAAGGCAGCAGCCCCCTATCCCGGGAATGCCTACCGACGAAAATACCCCACTGGAACTCCGACGACCAATCAGAAGAGCAAGCCAATTTGAAGAAGCTCTCTTGAGGAAGGAGAGTTGTGGTGATCGAGGCCTATGTGATGACATCTATCCAGCAGCTGCTCATTATAGATTCTGGACACTTGCGATCAGTCGAATTTGTTAGGTTACGTCAACAAAGCGCGTACGCATCGCGGCTGCTGACTACACGCCATGGGTGGATCGTACCAGCCAATCCCAAACAGTGCAGACAGAAGCAGAATTATGCAAGCAATGCTGCATTATGATTGGTTGGAGCCTAGATAACCAATAAGCTTACTTTGTACATAGTATTTAATCGCCTTCAGTTCTTCCAATACACGAGCTACGTACTACCATTCCTGTGGCCTTTTCCTCGTGTCTCTTTCACGTTGGATATTGCGAACTGGTGTCATTGCGTCCAGTGCTTCCGTAATGCAGTCCGTGACAGCTGATTATTGCTTCGGGTCCTGTGATTCATATTGCGTGTTTCGTGTTCCGAATTTCGTGCGTATCACCATTACTACTATTACTACTACTATTACTACTACTACTACTACTACTACTACTACTACTACTACTACTACTACAATCATTACAATGAAGTTCATATTGAACACTTTTGATGTACGATTATACTCGTATGATGGTGGAAAGTGGAGTGTCAATCTTCAAATTTCCAGTGGTGTCGCACGGCTTCGATCAATAGCTGTTCATGAGGAAATAAGCGGGAATTCAGAAACCCATATATATCTCATCGTCCTAATCGAGTTTAATCTAAACAGTCAGTTAAAATAATTTAGACGTCGCTATATGCAGCTTCGAATTAGTGAACACGATGTTTGTCGCAGGCTACATATTTCACTCATCATCTTGTCCTCAGCTTAAGTAGTATCGCCTAAGTTGTGGCTACAGCATCGGTAATCAAAAGAGCTGGGATGTACGAACA